GCCTAAAATCGGGCGTAACTTCATTTTCGTGGCAATGCAAGTCTAGTCTAGCATCTTTGGAGCCAGCCGCGTTGCGACCATTTGGGCGTTTCGGCACACGTAGTGGCGTCGCCTCTGAATCATCCAACAATTTGGTAACAGAAAGTAGTCTGCGCTCAAGGTAAAAACGGGCGCCTTGTCATTTTCATGTCGGGGCAATGGACTAATTCAGCGTGTTTGTGAATTTGATAGTGGGCGTTTCTGCCTCGCCCTCAGCGCATCTGCAAATTTGGTCACAAAAAAGAAAAATAGACTACATTTTTGATTTTTCAAAAGCTAGTTTCTTTTGCAGCACAGTTTAGGGTCTAACAGGATTTGGGTGTTTTTAATCGAGGTGCTGGATGACAGATTCTTTGCTGTGCCGAAATTTATGGTGCAAAGCACTGGATTTCATTCATAAATATGACATCAGCGTTGAACATTTCCACTGAATCACTGTACAAATCAACTCTTTGGACCAATTACAATCATTAACCATTTTAAAAATATTCTAATAGCATCCCATCTCTTTTGGCTCAAAATCTTGTACGCTGACGTCTGGATTAGTCTGCACTTCGCGCTCGATTTAGGAAAATAGGGCTACTTCGTTGTTGCCACTGTGTAAGTGGCGAATGAACCCTTAATCGTGTCAAAACAAGCCAGCCTGCGACAAGTGATGTCCAGTTTTTCAAAAAAATTGACCTTGAAAATTTCTCAGTCACCGGCTTCACATACAGGAATCCCACTCGAGTACCTCAGAATGAATCAGTGGCTGGCATCATCCAAAGCTTTCTGGCTCATTCTGTTTCTTGAATCGAGAGCTTCACAGAACATCAACATGATGTCAAGCTCCAGTCATAGCTCCACTATCACAACATTAATCTGCTCAGGGCGAGACTTGCATGAAAACTGGTGTTTTCATGAACAAGAGAAGAGTGATCCTCCCATTCCGTTAAAAGAGTGTTCATCCCTGTCGCGGATCAAGCAAATGTAGCCGCCATTTGCCCATCTGCGGCTAAAAGTAATGGAGGGAGTGCATCTGTATACACATTTCTAGTTGTTACATGCCAGCTAAATTATGCGGTTACCGGTTAGGTGTTTCAGTGAGTAAGTCGTCAAAAAATGTCCATTTTCTTGGGGGCAGAAGCGGGTAGTCAGGCGAGTGTACGAGGCAACGCCTTGTTTTTGTTTTTCTGAACAAGAGAGGCAGACGGGGGAAGTGGGGTGCAAGAATCTTGCCCATTGGCTCAAGTTACCCTTTGGATGATGTGTATGGAGCGCTGCCTGGTGCAGCTGAGCACACTGCGCTCAAAGAGCCCTTTTTTTTTTTTTTTCAAACCGAGAGAAAGTCATCCACTCGCTCGAAGCCCGCTCCCTTCCAGAAAAACACCAATACCACCCCCCCCCATCCCCCTCCTCCTTGCTGCAGACCCCAGCTCTTTCCTGCCTGCTTCCCCTGGACAAGGTCCAAGTGCTTCATGTGGCTGGTGACTGGGGCAGGTTGGAGGTGGAGTCCCCGCCCTTGTCCTCTGAAGACACTTGTTTTCCGACGGGACGAGGATATGTTGGTATTGGCAGAGTGGAGCAAAGGGGTGAGGCGGTGGGGTCCGCGGATATAGGGGGGATTGCGACTGCCCCTTGGGACAAGAGGAAATAAAAGAACCAGAGAACTTTCACACGCCCTTTCCAGGGAATGCCAAATGCACCTGTAGAGAGGTAACGTCTGTTTAAAGGACATTGAGCAAGTTTTCATTTCCTTTTCAACTTGGAGCGGACTTCAGATGTGGGTAGGAGGTCGCCGAGACTAGCTGGTGGTGGTCCCTGGCTGACCTCAAGATGAAACAGGCTTCTAAGAAGGTCTTGTGTACAACGCGCTGGCAACGCCCTTCCTGAAGACGAAACAGGGAAAAGGGCTGTGCTTGTGTCAGGAGTGAGAGCTCGTCCAAATGTCGCCCTTCTGAGAGAGCTTCATTTCCCTGATAAGGTTTATTGTGGTTGCAGCAATGTTCAGTGGAGACCTTCCATTGTCGGGGTTTGTTTACTATTCAGAAGGAGTTAGCCAAACGAACGAGGGACTGGGCGGGCGGGGGGGGGGTTGAGCAGAACAAAGAAATGGTTCATGGACAAGCTTGACTAATGGAGGATTGAAAGGCCCTCATGAACAAATTAGAATGGACCAAGGACAGACAGGGAGTTAATCCGCCGAGATGTATTTTTTTTCAGTATCAAAGTAGCCCGTTGGATAATACAGACAAGCCCATCTGTGCGGTGATGCTTTATTTTGTCACCATTGTGGAATTAGACCTGCACATGTGCATGTACAGAGACGTTGACTTACGGGTTCAGGGACATTAGCTTGGCAAGGGGGAGACTTGGCTGCAACGCAAGGCTTTTTGAGGCCGCAGTTTGTCTCTCGAGTTCGGCTTGTACGAGGGGGAACTTCCCATGCCTGTCATTTTAGTCCACAATAACATTTGCTCCAAGTTTCTCTATTCCGACTCTCCAGGAGCCTACGACAGATCCTTTAGCTGTTCAACAAGGCGGCCCCTGAACCCTTGGCGTGGTTTCCCACTTATGCCCGGTTTAGTTTGTTTAAATGGAGTTTGCTTCCCCCTTGGCTGTTTTTATGAAGCCGATGATTGAATTCTAATTATTGTTCCCGATGATTGTGATGAGAAAACACTCCAAACACAGTTCATCATTCACAGCCATGCGTGTGACAAATGAACGTAAACAACCGAATGATGCTGAATAGTGAATTCACAAAGGTATGTGCAAACAGATGAACCTTCGTCCTTGCATCTGCTGCTGACCAATAAGAGAAGAGAGAGAGCTGCCTTGTAGTTTGTTGTGACACATTTTGGTAAATGTACAGGACAAAATGAATCACGGGAGGAAATGGATCAGGTTTACAAACCCATTAAAACCCATTAACGGATTCTGACCAAAGAACGTATGATACAATGGTCGCTCTACTTACGAACATCTCTTCATCGGAAATTTTCAAATTACGAAAAGCCTCAACAGGAAAATATTACCACTTCTTACGAAAGAAATTTCAAGAGACCAAAGGAAAAAATACAGTATGGGCTGCTCACCGCAGCTCAGAGTTTCCTGAACACAACATACTTCGAGCTGCTCTGCCATTGGCTATTACTGACCATCTTCCTGGCATCCCATTGGCTAAGAGGGACCTCTACCGTATGTGTATGTGTGTGTAGATAAATAGATATGCAGCTTCCTAGTCGTTCACCCCTCGGGCTATTAGGCGTTCCGATCGTTTTACGTAAATGTTAATCACCCAGAAAAAGTGTTCACCAGTCCGGCGATCGCTGACGATGCTGATGTTTGCCTTGGACATTTTCGAAGGACTGTTAAAAGCCGACAAAAGCAAACATCCTTGGATCAGTTCTTTACAAAACGCCAGGCAAAAACACTTCTGAGAGAGAACATGAACTAAAGATGGCAAAAAAAAAAACCCAGATGAGGACGCAGTTAAAAGTTGAATGACCAACATTTTTATTCATTACTCTATTCTTTTTTTTTACATTATGCACAACGCTCATTTATTGTGCACTAATCTAACTGTAACATGTATTTGTTCCATATTTTGATGCATTTTTATGCTTTAGAAAACATTTATGTCTGAATTTTGGGGGTGCTTGGAACGGATTAGGGCATTTACATGGAAAACGCGTCTCGAATTCAAAAATGTTCTAGTTAAGAAACTTCTTCCGGAACCAATTAATTTCGTGAGTCGAGGTACCATTGTACAGGAGTAAAAGCACACTTAACACAGGTCGGGAAGCGCAGGTGAGGTACATGCATTTGAAGGACAAGCATGCAAATCCGCAGGGAATCATTCCTGATCGTGTAGTAACGAGTCTCTCTTTCTCCGTGGATGTTTTTTTTTTTTTTTTTAATTTTCTCTCCCAAGACAAGAACAGTGAGTCTTGGAACAGAAGTATTTGCAAAGGCCCTTCAAGGTCACGACGTCTCACAATTTACTGCTTTTGGATAGTCACCCACTCACACTCCACTTGTGTGCTTTCAGGCGTGCCAAACTACGGCTGTACTTGGAGCAGCTGAAGAAGTTGGTGCCTTTGGGTCCAGACAGCACCAGACACACCACACTGAGCTTGCTGAAAAGGGCCAAGATGCACATCAAGGTATTCAAGGACGCTTCACAAACGAGATGCAAAAGACGACCTTTTTAGTTTGTCAGCCAAAGGTTGGCTAGATCCCTTCCTTCGATCTAATTTTGTCGCTACGGTGTTCTTCTTGGGAAGCGCAGTGTTGTTTTTGCAGAAAATGTCTTACGGGTTGATGACATGAAGGACTAACTTCATGACACACTTCCACAAGATACGTAAACAAGAACAACACCATGCCCAGGGTGAAGCATGTTGCTTGGAGCTTGTTTTTCTTTAGCTGGAGCTTTGGTCAAGGTAGTAAGACTTCAAATAGAGGAGTTCCAAATAACCATGTTTTTTTTTTGGTGGGGCGGGGGGCGAAAATTTTCAGATGTCTGCTTAAAAGCAAAGCTGAAGTAACAACGTTTGTTCTGTTTATGAGCAGTTGAAGCAGCAGTGCCATGTGGTCGGTGGAAAATTCAGTTTTAACCCTTCATTTCCTGTTTATTGTGCATGCTGTCTCTGTGCAAACATTACAGGATGATTCGTGTCATGTTGTCTGACCAGAGAACAGCCTCTTTGGTATGAAACTTCTCGTTAATCCAACACTAAAAAAAGAAGAATCTGGCCACTTCCTTCATAGATGTTGAAATGCACTTGTTAAACATTTTGTACCTTGGCCTAGTTGGAGTGAAAATAAAACTGGTTTGCTAGACTTTCAGTTTTGTTTTTTCTGCCGAGTTTTTTTTTTTTTTCTTGCTTGAATATTTTTCATATTATCGGTCACCATCTTAAACTGAGAGTTCGACTTATGGGATGACTCAACTGTCAACAATCTTTTTGTGCGGTTGTATCTCTTGTGTCGTTTGTAGCTTACATTGAATATCACACGCATGAGATGAGGAGATGAGTACCTGAGTGAAATTTTGCTTCCATTTCTGATGCAAATTAGCATAGATCCAACATCAGTGGCCTTTGTCTGTATATGTTTGCAGAAGCTGGAAGAGCAGGACAGGAAGGCTTTAAACATGAAGGAGCAGCTGCAGAGAGAGCATCGCTACCTCAAACGCCGCCTCGAGCAACTCTCTGTCTCTGGTTCTGTGGAGCGCATTCGCACTGACAGCATGGGCTCCACCATCTCCACCGACTCTGAGCAAGGTACGCTGACCTCGGATACATCAATGCTGTGCTTCAAACGGCGGGGGTGTCTGACCGGTGGATTTGCTGACGTGGAAAATAAGCCTCATCACTCACACAATGAGACAACCATTCACATACCCTGTGTGGGTAGACCGACACAATCAGTAACAACACACACGCGCGCACACACGCACACACACACACACACACACACACACACACACACACACACACACACACACACACACACACACAAAGAATCTAAATAATTGGTAAATTGACAAAGACTAAAACATTCGCACAACTATAAGCAGTGGGTTTACTGCCAGAAATACAAACAGAATACCTGTACCATATAGCAATCCAGGAACAGCGACTTTGTGTGTGAAGACTGAAGATGACTTCGCAACACTGTACATAAATCTGGAAGAGAAAGGTTTTTTGCAGCACTGTTGGTTGTACATTCAGCAAAACCGTGGTCTGAGCCGCAGCTCCATGTGCTCTTCCACTCAGTCATGATCGAGAGATGCCTGACACACATGTTCACACCCTGACCCTGACCCTAAACCTAACCCAAAACCCTCACCCTAACCCTAAACCTAACCCTGTAAGCCCCAGCCCTAAAACCTAAGCCTAATCCTGACCCTAAACCCTAACCCAACCCTAACTCAGACCCAACCCGAACCCCAACGCTAACCCAACCCAACCCTCACCCTAACCCCTAACCCAACCCTAACTCAGACCCAACCCTAACCCCAACCCGAACCCCAACGCTAACCCGACCCTCACCCTAACCCCTAATCCTAAACCTAACCCCCTAACCCTGAGCCTAACCCCAACCCTAACCGTAACCCTAAGCCCAACCCCATACCTAACCCCTGACCCTAACCCTAACCCTAAACCCGAACCCCAACCCTAACCCACACCCAACCCTAACCCTAACCCCATGTTGTTCATTTCAACACCTTAATTGCATTCTTCTGCCTAGTCTATGACCCGTGGACCTCACTGTGATCTCGTTTCGGTAATCCCCCCAAAATGCTATGAGGTGGCACCAAAGCCCTGGCTAACAAGAAAGTCGTAATTGGGGTCAAGGAAGTATTGTTGAAGTGATGCATCTTGACTGAGCGATCTTTGAATGTCGGGGTGGAGCTTAGTTCAGCCTCGGTATGGAGTGGATGGTAAAGACGCACTTCATGAGGATTTTTTTCAAAATCCAATAATATGCAAGCCTTTTGAAGGATAATGTTTGTCAGATGATATCTTGGGATTGTGGTGGTGTATTGGGATATGCACTTAAAGAGTTTGCGTTCTTTGTTTTTTTGTGTGTGTGTGGGTGCAGAGGTGGACATTGAGGGTATGGAGTTCACCCCTGTCGAGGTCGACAGCGTGGGGAGCCTCAGTGACCCCGAGGAAGAGGAGGAGGAGGACCACTACAGCCTCCAGAGCAGCTCCAGCGACACCAGCTACACGGCGCCACATTCCCACAGACTGCAGCCGCACCACTGTTAGACTCCCGTGACCAGACGGTACAGCTTCTTCGACCCGCCCTCACCTCCAGACCACCACTACGACCCACATCAGAGCAGTCCACAAAGGCGGTACCCGATGAACGCCACGCAGCTCTCCCTCCCTGACCCTACCTACTTCACCCTCATGTGTCATGTCCCAAACAACCAAAAGTCCAAATAATTTACCAACCAAGCAGCCAGCCAATCAATTAGTCCAAACAGCCAACCAACTGACCAAGCAACCAATCAAAAAAAAAAAACAAAAACAAAAATCAACAAGCAGTCAACCAAACACCCACCCAACCAACCGGCCCTTTAGCCCGCGTCGCTGCAGGCTCACAGCAGTGGGGGACTTCTGTGGTGAGATGGATAGCTTTAACTTGTTCGTCAGGATTTGGGAGTCAGTGTGTATGTGCGTGTATGTGTGTGTGCGCGCGTCAGACAATAACGCAACAAAAAAGCTCCGTGTCATTTCCACATGGCAATAACACGCAGACAAAGGCCTTCAAGTATGCAAACCGCCTCCGCAGGTGATTCCGCAGTCTGTACACAACTAGGACCTCATTAGCCTGCCACGCCACACAGTACAAGCAATAGTCAAGACACTTGTGGGCGAGGAAAAGATCAATATTTTTCCCACGCCAGAATCAGGAAACATTTTTGTCTTAGCACCGGATTGGGGAAGGAGAACCAGTTGGCCTGGTTCTAACAATGAAACAACGGAAAATGCGGTGCACCGGCACCGTAGGTTTCCATGAAATATCGTTTCTTTTGTATACTGCCTATTCATCGTAGAAGCTAAAGCTGTGTTCAAAATAATAGCAGCGTGTTAAAAAAAAAAAGAGTAAGTTCAAAAAGAACTGCCGCAGAGAACATGAGCAATTTGATTATTTATTGTCCCCGCCTCCCCCCCTTTTTTTTTTTCTTTTTTGTTTTGCCTCACCACTATTCCACACTACTGACCACTACACTATAACACCCTATGGTGTGGATGGACTACTATGGCCTTGACGCAACTCTATTTGCTCAGTAGCGAAGCGATGTAGCAGAGCATGCAGGAGGAGGGTGCTTCCTCCCGAGTGTTTCAAAAGGTTCCTGCGGGACCGTGAGGCGCCACCGGAGTCTTGCGCCTCACATTTTTTCTTTTTTTTTTCCTTAATGTCAAACCACCAAAATGTCAGAATCGGAATTCCTCTGCAGCAGCTCTGTCTTGAACATCCCCTCAAGATGGCCAACTCCCATGGTTTTTTTTTTTTTCACAGTACTCACATTTGTCAGAACAATCTTTTTCCTAACCTACGTGAAGTTTTTTTTTATTTTTTTTTTTATTCACAGTACTCACATTTGTAAGAACAATCTTTCTCCGAACCTACGTGAAGGTTACAAACGACAGTCACTGTTGACGGACGAGGCGCTTCTGTTGGCCACTTCAGGCGACATCTTTGCGGGAAAATAAAAAAAGGTTCATTATGTTAGGCTTTATTAAAAAAAAAAATATAGATAAAATAACAAAAAAAAGACATAAAAGGCTCAAAATATTTCAAACCCACACAAAAAAAATCACTATATTCGCCAGTGTAGTCTATTTCTTGCATTACATTTTGTATTCTATTTTCCTACATGTGCTCTTTAGGTAAAAAAAAAGTGAGTTACATATATATATATATATCAACAAAATATATACACACACTCACTTTTTGGTGTGTGTGTGCACATACCATATTTCCCACACTAAAAGGCGCACCTAAAAGCCTTCCATTTTCTTAAAAGCTCACAGCGCCTTAAAATCCAGTGCATCTTGTGTATGGTTATTACGGTAATATGTCAACCTCAAAATGGCGCCCTGCTAGAGACATGCTGACAACGCAGAGTTCAAACTTAGGGCGATCACTTTCGCAGTTGAACATGGAAATAGAGCAGCGGCAAGAGAGTTCAACGTTAACGAGTCAATGTTATAACTTGCTGTTGCTGACGTGAACTGTGTCGCTGCTTTATTAAATAAGTTTTACTGACATCTAATCAACGCTATATAAATCAGGGTGTTGTGTCGTGTAGTGTTATGTTGGAATTTCCTTGAGCGGAGCTCCATCTAGTGGATGCATTGTAGATTGCGTCTTATAATGGGGTGTGTCCAATAGATGAAAAAAATTACGAAATAGGCCATTCATTGAAGGTGCGCCTCATAATCCAGTGCGCCTTTTAGTGTGGAAAATACAGTACATACAAATGTTTGTATATATAATATGCAAAACTGACTCGGTATGGATGTATACACAAATATATACAAAAGCCTTTACAGAGATGATAATGCTGTTCCAAGTGGTTTTATTTGGTGAAATGGCTCAAAATTTCTTGTACGGACTTTTTGTTTGTCCCATAAAATTTAACGTTTCTATGATCGCTTATCTCGTTTAGTTCCATAAAAAAAAGACATCCATTTTCTCTCTTCCGAATTGGGCTATAAATGACTCATGATATGAAACGAAAATTCACAACAAATTATGTTATAACCTTTTCCGAACATTGAACAGAAATTCTAATAAATTTGGGACTTTTTTTTTTCTTGTCATTTTTAACTTTTTCCCTCCCTGAGTTTTCTTCTAAATTGATCCCCCCCACCCCCTAAAAAAATGACTTCACGCACTTAAAATGTCATATTCAAATGCCATTTTTCTTGTACTATTACAACTCCAAAGTTTCCCAACATTATACTGTGCAATCGGGCTTCATGAAAACCGCCGGCGACTGCGAGCTATTATCTCTGTAAAGGCCAACTCATGGATGCAGTCTCCTTAGATTGTGCAGGTGTACCTAATGTAGTGGCCGCTGCGTGTATGTATCGCTTTGTTTCGTCAAGGAAAGATGGATCGATGTCGAGAGAGACTTGTGGAAGGGGGCAGACTCTCCTGCTGTGTTCTGTGCCTTGGTGACCCCGCCCCCGGCCTTGACCCCGCCCCTGCCCCCAAAGCCCGGTCCCCCACTCAGGTTGCCTCCCCTGCCCCTGCCCCCCCCCTGTCACCCATCCACTCCAAACATCAACCAAAAACACTTCCAACCAGCAGGGGGCGTGCCAAAAAAGGTCCGTGCACCCCACCCCCACGACCTCCGACCCTTGTCGCTCCCACCCTCCACACTGGTAACGCCCCACGGCAGCTTCTCGTCGGCCCCCCTAAAAATGGTCATCACCGGGGGCTGGAACCTTTCAGGCTTGAAGCTTGTTTTATGCGAATTTATTTTTTTAGTTTTGTTTTGTTTTCAAAGACTTTGTGTTAGTTGAGCGGGCGTGGCCGGGAGCGGAGCGATTTTAAAGAAATAATTGACCCAATGGCAGCTTTGCGGCGTGATCGTCTCCCCGACGTCTCAACATCAGTGTTTGTTTGTTTCTGTTTGTTTGTTAGCTTCCACGCTGACACAGCAATATGACCATCGTGTGCGTTGAGCAAGGGCGGCCAGGGTTGTTTTTTGTTTAGTTTTGTTTTTCTCACTTGCGTTTTCTCTTGGAAGACAAGCAAGTGTTTTTTTTTTCGCTTTTGACTCTGTGGTGCATTTAATGGTGACCAACTCTTGACGACCTCCTATCTGCACTCTCTTCAAACACTGCAGGAGGGCCAAGACAAAAAAAAAAAAATGGAGATTTAAATGAAACAAAAAAAAAAAGCTGTTTTTTTTTTTTGTCGTCTTTGACGGTTTACATTCATGTCGAGAATTTGAACATGACTGTTTGTAGCGTTCTTTTTAGTCTGTTAGTTTAAAAAAGTTTGTTTGTGGATTGTTGCCACACATACACACACACAAAAAAAAGGCTCAGTATCAAATCATGACATGAAACGTTTGTGGTAATCTGTGGAGTTTCTAAACCAGAAAGACCTCCCGTCATTCAAGCAGAAACAAGCACAATGGATGAGTAAAGCGATTGCTTCTTAAATAATTCACACAAACAAAGCAGTAGAGAGAGAGATTACTGAATCTCGACCTGTCATTGTTCGCTGATATAGACCATAAGCAGCCGTCTCTTTGACCCCGCCATCTCAGGCTCACCTGTCCCGTTGTATGTCTCAATTCTTCTTTTAATATCTGTATGGTGGCAGTGAGTTCAGTTCAACTGATGTCACAATTTGTAGCACTTTGCCAAATAGTCAGCAAAAAAAAAATAAAAAAGCTTGCTGGTGATTGCCACTCCCAGTTCTGGTTAACTGTTCAACTAAAAACGAAAACACTTACACCCTGTGGTTGGAAAGCAGCCAAACAACTGCCAAAAGGCCTCGCTAACTTAATACTAAAGCTAATTAGTATCTATGTTGCTGTGCTTTAATCCTTTAAGAAACAGATTAAACACAAATGTTTCAGCAACTATATACCTGACAACACAACAGTAATCATGTATTCTTTATCCTCTGGGTAGGACAACCAATATTAGTGCCGTACTGATGAGCTTTAAGCGTAATTGATACATTACTATGAATCGTGGGATACGTGGCATCGCAGTATCATTGGCTGCTGCAAAGATGCAAGGAATGCCGAGAACTTAAGTGGGATTCTTCATTACGCCTCAGCGCACAGTACAGCCGTCTGTTTGTCTTACACTGCCCCCAGGTGGTCAAGGTGCGTACACCAGAAGGAGCATATTTTCAGATTCTTTGAATTTTTTTGTAATAAATACTGAGCCTTTTTTTTTCATGTGGCAGCGATACACTTTGATAAAAAAAGGCATATTAATGGCATAAAAAAAATGATCTCTTACACAGAACCTCCCTGTCGGGATGAGGATGGAGTGAGCGAGGCGATTTGTGGGCCACACGTGAGATAAGACCATGAGACAGAGATGATTCGGTGGTGATTGTTTGCCAAAGACAATTGCCACAGGCAAGATTAAAAAAACAAAACAAAAACACATTTTTAAAAAGTCCTAAAATTATGCTGAAGAAATATCCTGTGTTGTTTCAAGTTAAAATGTTATGAGGAAAATCTATTCTAAATTGTAGGACCAAAAGCATTGCAAGAAAAAAAAAAAATTTTGCGGGAATTTTCTTGTGAAGTTTGGAGAGGGAATTCTGACAAAAAAGCAATTGTATTAAAAATATATATATAATAAACTTAATTGCAATTTTATCACAGCAGTCAGAATATTAGGACGACAAGTTGTAAAAGTACGACATGGAACTCATCTTTTTAAAATGTGTGATCCCCATTGTCAGCAGCGAGGGAAAACCCTTTTAACGACGTGCCTTGTTAAAAAAAAGTATTTTCTTAGCGTGATTTAATTTAAAAAAAAAAGAGTAGAAATTATGCCCGTCATAATCAACCAGCGATTCTCCACTGTATCCACTTGGAAATGCAAATTGGAAGCTGCGACGGCTTGGTGTGGTGTCGCGCTTGCACAGAGATTGAACGCAAAACACAGTGTGACTCCGATGACGAACATTCGTCGTTTCCCGTGCACCGTGCTGTCAAAATCAATATTCCTGCCAAATACAAAAGTCACTTTTGAACACCCTCGCCGTGCTCGAGTAGTTTGTCAAATGTTTGTAATTCTGTGTAGCTTTAAAGGGGAGCAGCCTTTCGAGGAGATTGAAATCGAAAAAAACTATGGAAGCTTGGAGCTGCCAGCGTGGCGTTTAAAAAAATGTTGACCGTCAAGTACGCTTGAACGTACTTGTAGGCTAAATGCTACAACCGTAGAATTTTCCCACAATCCCGTGGGGTATTGACTTGCGCATGCATTATGCGAAAACATGCTGAACAGGAATCAGGCCCTACAGACAACCGTGAAATTATGAACGACCGCTTATTTAATTTTTGAACACACTGGCCAAATCCTTAAAAAAAAAAAAAAAAAAAAAGG